GGCTTCAAATTCACTTTTAGGCATGGCTGATTAAATAAATTACAAACATTATATCTGATTATTTTTAGCATAATCATTTCATATTCACGGATAGTTTCTGTGTATAATAATCTAATGATGCAAGTGATGCGCTGTAAAAATAAAAATCACTTCTATTTCTCAAGTGTTTTTTGTCACAGTGCATTTCTTGCATCATTTGATTGTAACACACAGAAAAACATCCGTGAATATGAACGGATTATGCCTTTGCTGAGGTTTTCAATATTTACCGGCCTAGATGTTCGAGAAATCTTATAGAAAATCACCAGGAATCGAACCTGAATCCTACACGGAATTGTCTTATAGCCTGACGTGCTATCCTATTTAGCTACTGCTTAGCAATGTTAAATTACATTCAGGCCGGTAAATGTAGTTAAAACTATTTATTATAAACAGAGCATAAAAATAACGTATACACAAGAAATATCTTAAAATGATTGTCCATTTCATAATATATTATGTCATTTGTTTATTTTAAAATACGAGCGTTCGAGAGAAATCATGGGAAATTTGTAGTTTAAAAACAGTAATTTAACCTTGCTAAAACGACGCTCCCGCTGTAGCTAAATAGTATAGCACATTAGGCTATATGGCGGTTCCGTGAAGGATACAGGTTCCATTCCCGTCGGAGGACGCATATTTTCTATGAAAATTTCTCGGACATTCAGGCCGGTAAATGTTGTTAATACTGTTTATTATAAACAGTGCATTTACTTAAATATTTGTATCTATAAAAATAACGTATAAACAGAATATATATATATATATATATATATATATATATATATATATATATATATATATATATATATATATATATATATATATATATATATATATATATATATATATATATATATATATATATATATATATATATATATATATATATATATATATATATATATATATATATATATATATATATATATATATATATATATATATATATATATATATATATATATATGTATATATATATATATATATATATATATATATATATATATATATATATATATTGCAGCAGTGGATAGTGGTTCGGATTGAGGACAAGTTCGAATTCAGTTGAATCCATTACATTCACTTACGTGCTAATTACCCTTGGAAATGAACTTGGGTAAGGTACGGCTATGGATAAATAGACTGGGTTCTATAGCCTTGGATGGCAACTGGTCTAGGAGAAGAACAACTCTGAATTTTAAAAAAGAACCTGCGGAGGGTCGTTTGGGAACCTTGTGGCAGGTAGTGCACCAGGTCTCTGTATTCGGCCCTTCAAAAAGTATGGTTGGTTCTGCACAAAACCTTCATCACTATAATCAAATTATATGTGCTGGAGTCTGACTGTCGGTTCATAGGAACAGAGCTGCTTGACTCGAATACTTCGGGAGGATCCACCACACACACACACACATACACACACACATCATACATACATATATATATATATATATATATATATGTGTGTGTGTGTGTGTGTGTGTGTGTATGCATATTATATATGGCCGCTCGTATCCGAGAAAACCTGTCTACTGTAGGAGGGGGGGGCTAAACAATCCCTGTTGCAGACGCTTGGTCAGACACAACTATGCTGAAAGAACCTTAATTAGAGTTTGTTGGAGTGAATTCATAATCTGACGTTCACAACAGGTTAAACAACATCAGAACGCTCGTGGATGGGTATAATAGTAGGGTAGACTGTGCTATTTAGCCTTGGTTAGCAACCAGTCTAGGAAACCTCGGTTACATTAATGAGTTTGTGCTAGGACAACAATCGACGAACCATTCCTTTTAGCAAATTTCGCTTCCAAGGCTCGCGTCAACCCGGGATAGAGTTTTGAGGCACTTTCCAATGGTTTCGCAAAAGCTACGGTCGTCTCTCCAACAAAAAGGCAGCTTCCTGGCAAGTCGAGGACAGATTTGAACCTAGTTCTCATTGTCAGAAAGCGAATTACATTATTTGCATACTGTAACCAAGAGTTTCCTTTGATTCCAATGACGGGTTCCCATGTAAAATTCTTATACATTAATGTTCTCTAACAGAACCGCCATTGGAGAGAAATGAAGAAAGCATAAAAAAGAAGGGATGTTTAGAAAAAAGAAAACATTTAGAAAGAAAGAAATAAGGCTAGATAAAACATAAAGAAAGGAAAAAGAAAAAAGAAATAGAGTTAGACATTCATAAGAAAAGGAATAGAAAGAAAGAAAGAAAGAAAGAAAGAAAGAAAGAAAGAAAGAAAGTAAAAAAATAAAGAAAGAAAGAAAAAAAAGGAAAAATAATAAATAAAAAGAGCTAGACACTCACAAGAAACGGAACAGAAAGAAAGAAACAAAGAAGTAAAGAGAGAGAGAAATATAGTCGTTCCAAAATATTTAGAACGAAAGAAAGAAAAAGAGACGTACTGAATAAATAACAAATAAAACGTTTGCATATATGGTAAGTGTTCAGGAAATAAAAACAAAGAAAGAAAGAAAGAAAGAAAGAAAGAAAGAAAGAAAGAAAGAAAGAATAAAAAAGATAGACATCGAGAAAATAGATAAAAGAAAGACAAAGAAATAAATATAGACAGAAACAAACAATAAAAAGATAAACGTTTAGAAAGTAGAAAAAGGAAAAAGAAAGAAGCAATAAAAGATAGATTTTCAGAAAATAGAAAAAAGAAAGACAGTAAAAGTAAGAAAGAAAGAAGCAATTAAAAAGATAGACGTTCAGAAAATAGATAAAAGAAAAAAGAAAAGAAAGGAAAAAGTAAAGAAAAAATAAAAGAAGAAAATGCTAACATTCAATAGCAGAAGAATGGAAAAAACAAACTCAAGATTAAATAAAAGAAGAATAACTGATGTTGAAGAAGAATAATAAATGAAAAATTAAGAAGAAAGAACGACAGACAGAAAAAGAAAGAAAGGGAAAAGAAGGAAGAAAAAGAGCTTGACATTCATACGTAAAGCGAATATTGAGAAAGAAAGAAAGAAAGAAAGAAGGAAAGAAGAAAGCAAGACATTCATAAGAGCATAAAAAAAGAAAGAAGGAAAGAAAGAAGGAAGGAAAAAGAAGTAACAAAAAGAGCAAGACATTCATAAGAAAGAGAACAGAAAGAGAGTAAAGAAAGAAGAAAGAAAAAGGAAAGAAAGAAAGAATGAAAGAAAGACATTCATAAGAGCATACAAAAAAGAAAGAAGGAAAGAAAGAAAGGAAAAAGAAGTAATAAAAAGAGAAAGACAATCATAAGAAAGAGATAGAAAGAAAGAAAGAAAGAAAGAAAGAAAAGAAAGAAATAAAGAAAGAAAGAAAGAAAGAAACTAAAGAAAGAAAAAAGTAAAGAAAGAAAGTAAAGAAAGAAAGAAAGTAAAGAAAGAAAGAAAGAAAGAACGACAGTAAAGAAAGAAAGAAAGAAAGTAAAGAAAGAAAGTAAAGAAAGAAAGAAAGTAAAGAAAGAAAGTAAAGAAAGAAAGAAAGTAAAGAAAGAAAGAAAGAAAAAAGAAAGAAAGAAATCTACCTATTAAAAAAAAGACAAAAATACAAAGGCAAGAAACATATGTGCACGACTATCTTAGACCGATGTGAGCGGAACCTTGTGTGCAAGAGGGTAGGTGAGTCTCGTGGGGATGGCGGTTGGGGTCTGGAGTTTCTTTTTTTTTTTCTTCTACTTGATGAGTCAAAACGGAGGAACGGTTCTCGAGTGCAGTCAACCATTGGCGGCCATGTTGAGCGACAGGACAGCCTGGAAGGGAGACCCAGTTGCATACGGTGCGAAACACAATGTCCGTGTGTGTTTGTGTAGCCAGGTGTATTTGCGCCCCGGTGAGACCTATTCGTAAAATTTTCACAATCTCCACAAAAGACCCTATTCCGTATTCGAATTGCTCTTTCCCCATCTTTCATTCTTTACACTCTTTACATCTCCATATTTCATTCAGTCTGTTCCTTTTTCGGAGAGAGGGCTGCAGTCTCATCCTATCGATAAAATTAACTCAAATTTCACTCTCACCAGTCTGTTTTTCTTTCCTTTTTCTCGATCTCTCTTGTTATGCATTCAAATTTGTTTATATTTGCCCGTTTGAATCAAACTCTCTATATCTATCTATCTAGCTAGCAATCTCAGTCTGTTTATATCTACGGATCTATCTATCTATCGATCTAGCTAGCTAGCAATCTCAGTCTGTTTATATCTACGGATCTATCTATCTAGCTAGCTAGCTAGCGAACTATATCAGTGTGTTCTTACCTATTTATGTATTTATCTATCTCATTTATAAATTTATCTTCTGTTCATTTCTATCAATTTATCTATTTCTGTTTTTATCTATCTATCTATCTATCTATCTATCTATATATATATATATATATATATATATATATATAGTAATGGATAGCGGCTTGGATTGAGGAATAGCAGAGCCGATCTCGAATTCCAGTCGAATCCATTATATTCATTTACGTGCTAATACCCTTGGGAAAGGTGTGAATCCTCTTCTTCTCCCTCCAGCTATGGGTAAATAGCAGGACAGACTGGGTACTATAGCCTTGGATGGCAGCTGGTCTGAATGACAACTCTGAATTCAAAACCTGCGGAGAGTCGTTTGGGACCCTTGTGGCATATAGTGCACCAGGTCTCTGTATTCGGCCCTTCAAAAAGTGTGGATGGTCCTGCACGAAATCTTCACCACTATAATCAAATTTCATGTGCTGTTGTCGGGCTGTCGGTTTCCTGGGAACTGATCTGTTTGACCTTCATACGTCGAATCTCGACAGGAGAGTGATATATATATATATATATATATATATATATATATATATATATATATATATATATATATATATATGTTAGTATAAACCTTAATCTGTTTCTTTCTGTCTAACAGTCTGTTCATATTTATGTATCTATGTTCGTATTATCTCTATATGTTTCTATTTATCTGTTCATATCTACAGATCTAGCTGACTAGCGAGCTATATCAGTATGTTCTTATCTATCTATCTATCTATCTATCTATCTATCTATCTATCTCAGTCTGATCATTATCTATCTATCTATCTATCTATCTATCTATCTATCTATCTATCTATCTATCTATCTCATTCTGTTCATATGTATCGGTTTATTTATCTCAGCCTGTTCGCTTTTTATCTGTCTATCTCAGTGTGTTCATTATCTATCTATCTATCTATCTATCTATCTATCTATCTATCTATCCCAGCCTCTTCTTTTTTATCTATCAATAAATCTAGCAATCTCAGTCTCGGAGAATATATATATATATATATATATATATATATATATATATATATATATTCATTTCAAACTGTTCAATTTTGACGTTCGTTTCTTCTTACTTTTTCCATGCCTGTTGCAGTCTGTTCCAATCTATATAATATCTATCTATTTCCTCATAATATATATATATATATATATATATATATATATATATATATATATATATATATATATATATATATATTTAGGTAGCATATGTTTAATTCAAAGATGTTTGGTTAAATAATTTAGACATATCATATCCTTTCAAGTTCGCGGATTCATTTTTGGTAGATTTAGAAAATTGAGTAAGAAAAATCTATAAGTACTCCTTAAGCTTAACAGAAGTATCGTGATGCAATCGATCATAAACGAAAATGACATGTTCATCATTAATTAATCATAGCTAAGGATCAGAAGCTCATGAAGTATTGAAATAAAATTCAAATATATATTTGTATTTCAATATTAACTTTATCTCCTGGAGTAACAATGCGTCTCACATGTTTCACGTATGATTTCATTTTCAAGTCTTTTTTCACTGCTCTTTGGACTGTCATAGCTGAAACTCCTCTCTCACGTGCCAAAGTCTGATGGATTTAGTTGGATCTTTTCTAATTGATCTCTTTAGCTCTAAGTTGAAATGATGATCCCTCTTCCTGTTGTGAACCCCTGATCCATTTTTCCTCTCTACTGTTCCCTCTTTTTTTAAACTTATTCACCGTTCTCTTGATGGTTTTTAAATGGACTTTGAAGATGGGATCCAGTGTATGAATGTTGGCACCAATACTGAAGCCCTGAGTGATCTTTTTCCTCTCGCCATTGCTCAGTCGGGAAGATATAGTGGGGCTGACACAAAACGATTTTAACCTGTTCTGTCTCTAGCTGAATAACTCAAAGGTGTTTTCACTGTTTCTTCCGGCAAATGGTGTCTATATATATAAATGTCTTATCTGAAAACCTGCAAAAAAAGAAATTCAATTAGTTTAGTAGTTTTTAGATATTAAACAGTTTGTGGGATTGATAATTCTGCCGTTACGCCATTTGAACAATTTTGCTGTTACACATATATATATATATATATATATATATATATATATAGAAAAAGTTTCAAATTGAAAATTATAATGTTTTATTTTATGAAAGTATTTATTTATTTATATATATATTTGATATTTCAAATTGTCCTCAATTTTTCATCAGAAATAACTGTTTGTTACAAATAAATTAAAATTACTGTTTGTTAGCAAGTAGCGTCCTTCGCGAGACGCGGACGTCACGTGATATGGAACGTCACTGTTCGGATATTCCTAACTTAAATCTGTCATAAATATTTAAAAAAATTTTTTACTCTATCTAAAAAAAAAAAAAAATTGCTTAACTACTGAAATATTTATAAAGATTTAAAACACCTAAGTCCCTATTCAACCCTAGTTTATGTGTATTTAATTTTAAAATCCAATATGTTTCTTTTTTTCTGCGTGTGAATGTGGAAGTAAAATCGGAATCTATTAATAAACATTTGCAGTTTTCTAATGTGTGTCCTGATTGATTGTAGTGTTTAGTATATAAGGCATTTTTATGTTTAACGTTCTTTTTATAAATACAAGTATTTAAGTAAATGCTCTGTTTATAATAAACAGTATTAAATAACATTTACCGGCCTGAATGTCCGAGAAATTTTGATAGAAAATATTATAAACAGAGCATTTACTTAAATACTTGTATCTATAAAAAGAACGTTAAACATAAAAATGTCTTTAATAAATAAATTGTCGGACTTTGTCCATTTCTTAATATATGACGTCATTTGTTTACATTTGATAGGCAATGAGCAGTTATGAATGTACGAGATTCATGGAAGATTGAAGTTTGTAAGCAGTAAATTCAACCTTGCCAACCGAACGATCCTTTGCGATCAAGACACGTCAGCGTAAATGACGGTTCCGTATAGGATGCAGGTTCGAATCCTGTCAAAGGACGAATATTTTCTATGAAAATTTCTCGGACATTCAGGCCGGTAAATGTTATTTAATACTGTTTATTATAAACAGAGCATTTACTTAAATACTTGTATCTATAAAAAAGAACGTTAAACATAAAAATGTCTTTAATAAATAAATTGTCGGACTTTGTCTATTTCTTAATATATATATATATATATATATATATATATATATATATATATATATATATATACCGGTTGTAACAGCAAAATTTCTGTACATATATATTCAACTCACCCGTCGAATTCGACGTATGAGGTTCAAGCAGATCAGCTCCTAGGAAACCGACAGCCCGACAACCGCACATGAGATTTGATTATAATGGTGAAGGTTTTTGTGCAGAACCAACCACACTTTTAAAGAGCCGAATACAGAGACCTGGTGCATTACGTGCCACAAGGACCCCAAACGACCCTCCACAGGTTTTGAATTCAGAGTTTTCCTTCTCCTAGACCAGCTGCCATCCAAGGCTATAGAACCCAGTCTGTCCTGCTACTTCCCCATAGCTGAAGGGAGAAGAACAGGATTCATACCTTACCCAAGGGTATTAGCACGTAAGTAAATGTAATAGATTTGACTGGAATTCAAACTCTCTCACACACACACACACACACACACACACATATATATATATATATATATATATATATATATTAAGGTTCACCCTGTACAAGTGTCTTGGGGCACTCGAGGTAGAGGGTTACGTTAAGACGTAATTCATATGGGTAGAAGGGGAAGATGATGGTTAACTCTAGACTTGAACAGGTTAAGATCGGGGAGACATACTCTTAGGAGTCTGTTCCACAGTGGTTCACGGGAAGATGCTGTTCGATTGGAACTTAATTCTCGCCGGTAGTATACGGAGGTAATGAGTGTGGCTTGCTCTTATGTAAGTGCAAGGTTAGACCTGGTGAAACCAAGGAATGTAGTGCGCCCGAACACTTTCCATGGAAGTAGAGACAGAGCATTGAGAGACTCGCCACATCCCGCCAGTGAGAGACAAAGGTTGTAGAATGGAAAATAATTCTTTTCCAACAAGGATTCGGAGACGCTTTTGGACTCTTCCAAAACTGGAAAGTGAGGGCCGGGCAGCTTCTGCCCAAATATGGTAACAGCTCTCCATCTATCTCTTATACAGTTAGAGGATAGCATGAGCAGTCAACGGATGTTTTTAGCGATGGATCGTATATAAGAGTTCCACTTGAGGTCGGGCGTGAGTTTCAGGCCCAGTATCCTTCCACCTCGAGGGGACATCCCGTCATCGTGACCGACGGTAGTTCGGGGTCTGATCAACAAATAGAATGTAACTAGTTTAGTTTTAGAGGCATTGAATGTTAACCATCCAGTTTTTTTTTTTCCACACTGGGAAGTTAGTGTTAGAAAGAGGTCAGCTGCCAATCTGCGATCGTCAAGAGTTTTAGAGGTACGCCAGTATATGGGCGCATCATTGGCTCATATGTTTACAAATGATCGGAGCATATTCTTAGACAGATCACATATGTACCTCAGAAAGAGGGTTGGTCCGAGAAGTAACCCTGGAGGAAGGCTACTTTGACCGATATATATGTATAGTTCCATCAACATCATTGGTGCTAACCTCTAGGAAAGTGACACCTTGCCCTTTCTCGGGTATTCGTTCTAGGCTGACATGAGGTGGAAAGACTTTATTGAAACCATTACTAAGTCAGCTGCTAAAAAAGTGTCGGACAAGATAATTTTTCTCACAAGAATCTATCATATATATCTATAAGTCTACCATTCGTCCATGCTGAAAATATTGTTGCCGCATATGTTCCGTTGACCCTACTATTTACTTTGATCTCCTTACTAAAATCCAAAGACAAATCTGCAATATTATCAGTCCTGATCTGGTGACTCGGCTTCAGTCACTTCCCACTGCCGTAATGTTGCCTCCCTGTATTTTTTTTTCTATAAATGCTTTCATGGTAATTGCTAGGCTGATCTCTTCACTATGGTATCTAGACTTCCTGAACGCATGCGCAGTACTAAATTGACATCAATATCTCAAGAATTTATTGTTGAGCTGGCTAGATGTAGACGTACATTCTATGCTAACAGCTTCGTTTCTCACACTTCTCGCTTGTAGAAACACTCTTCCGGCTCCATGCTTTCCAGCCAACGTTAGTTTGGTTTGGTTTGGTTTGTTTTACGACAAATCAACCTCAATGGGTTATTTAATGCCGATAAAATTTTTATTGTTATTCTCTAACACTAGAGAGAGAGAGATAGCTGTAATAAAATAATAACTTGAATATATATATATATATATATATATATATATATATATAGAGAGAGAGAGAGAACTGTAATTTTAATGATAACTGAATAAATGAAAAAATATATATATATATACACACACACGCGCGCACACACACACACACACACTAGAGAGAGAGAGAACTGTAATAAAATGATAACTTGAATATATATATATATATATATATATATATATATATATATATATATATCTGTGTGTGTGTGTTTTTAGTATTTTGTTCTTTAGTATTTTTTTTTTTAGCGTGTTGGAATCATATTTTTAAATAAATAATTATATACACACTCACACACATATATATATATATATATATATATATATATATTATATATATTTTAAAAATTTTAAATTAATAATTTTTAAATTATTTTTAAATAAATAATTATATAATTTTTAATTTTTAAATAAATAATTATATAATTTTTTTAAATTATTTTTTAAATAATTATGTATATATATATATATATATATATATATATATATATATATATATATTAAATAAAAACAGACCACTTTAAGGTTCCATGTAATAAATTATTTCACCATATTTATTTTTTGTTTCAACCTTTAGAAATAAAGTCTGATGATCCAGAGCCCTTTAAAAGGGCTGTGGTGAAATAATTTATTACATGGAACCTTAAAGTTGTCTGTTTTTATTTAAATTATTTGCTCTGGATTTACATTGAGCTCTCTGGATTTTATCCTCCTTGAGTTTACCCATACGGATTCACTAATTTTCATAGACTATATATATATATATATATATATATATATATATATATATATATATATATATATAGAGATTTGGTTTGGTTTTTGTTTTACGGTATATCAACCTCAATGGGTTATTTAATGCCGACGAAATTTTTATTGCTGGTAATATGCTTTTCTTCAAAGATCTATTTCTGGGAATATTTTTCCTTGAAGAAATCTATAGCTGGTAATTTTTTTTCAAAGAATGTATAACTGTTTGTATTGCTAGTATATTTTTTAAAAAACTATCGCTGATTATAATTTTTCCTTCAAAAATTATTGCTGTAATATTTTTTTTATTACAAAATATTTCTGGTATTAAAACCTATTTTAAGTTTGGGTGTCAACTATTTGCCCATAGCTGGGACCCTAACAGGTGCTACCACCCCGGATCAGGGTGGACCTGGGAACACCAGCAATTAAGAGGTGGTTCCACGCTCTTCAAAACCTCCTGATCAGAGGTCTCGCTGTCGACGTAGTTTATCGTCTTACCCAGGACGCGGATTTAGTTTATCATCTTACCCAGGACGGCCAACGTTAGTCTTCAAAAATTTAAATGCTATGATAATCGCTATCTACTGTCCTCTTGATTACTCTTTTCTCCTCCCGCTCATTAATATTTCTCTTACTAATTCTTCCATACCCAGTAATCCTTTGTGTCTTAGTGGCTTTTCTGCCTTACTTGGGTCGAAACCGATTTAAAAATTATACATATATATGCTCCTGAAAAATTTATTTCGGTTGAGCTGTGGGTTTGTAAACAGTGACGATTACGGCTAATAGTGCATGACTCTTCGGTAAATCGAATCGAGTTCTCTCAGTCACTGTGTGTATATCTAAAAATAGATACGCTTAAATTCACTTTCATCCCTGCCGTGCGCCAACGGCTTAGTCGTAGAATCCCCCGACCTGATGATATGTGATACAGCGAAACAGTCTGTCTGTGGATGACAATATATATATTTATATATATACTAGATTAAAAACCGCCCCATCGGGCGAAGGCATTTTGATTGGGCCTTCATCACAATAGGTAGGGACGAGTAGATGCAACAGGCACCGATAAACTACAAAAGAACTCAAAATTCATCGCTAAATTTAAGTATTGCATTAATACTTAAGCTTACCTTTTAAATGTTCAACGATAATTCTTCTGTCGCCACTTAATTTAAGAACAGTTTGATGTACGTAGGTCCTTACTTTCTGTACAAAAAATTATTTTTTATTTCATGGGTGACTTTCGTTGGATTTCGCAATTAATTTCGATTATTCTCAAATTTATTTCTAACTTATAAAAATTATTATCGTACAAAAAAAAAACTTCGTTGCAAAAAAATCACGTAAAAATATCGGAGCCAAAGAGTGTGGGTTCAATACCAGGTTAAGTTAGTGGAGAACTTTCAGAGGGAAATTAACAGGAGATGACTGATAACTGGCATGCATTAAACATGGCACGTGGAACTAGAACAGTCTGCCCCAGTGAGCGAAATAAAGGGTTCAGATCGACATTCCAACCCCCTGAAGAAACGTTGTAATAAATACTAGCAGTAGAGCCCGGCGTTGCCCGGGGATGTAACAGTAAGAGATAGATCAAGTATCGACCATCATAAAGACTGAAAAATAAAATTGACAAAGATTTTTGTTTAAGGTTGACGGACACGCAGGTCTTAGTTATTTTTTTGTTTTGTTTTGTTTTGGGGGGGTGGGGGGGTTACGAATTGGTCAAACCCAAACTCAAACAAAAACATTGTTTTCAATCGTTATGAGTCTACCGATTGAATAGAAATTTATTATAAACAATTGTATTGTAAATGGAATTTTTAATTCATTCTGAATGTAAAAATAAAGAAAAAAGTGTGCAAGACAATAAGAAACACTACCTGCCAAAAAAAAATGTGAAGTTTTGTTGAAATCGGTTGAAAAATGTAGGAAATCCGATCCCATATATAAAAGAACACACACACAAACAACCTGGGTTTTATAAGTATAACTCGATATGAGTTGTCCCCCTTTCATTCTCGTGACAGTGATGCCTCTTAATAGTGTTTTCAAATTGATTTCATGCAAAAACAATTGTGTTTTTCCAATTATTGGTGCTGTCAGAACCACCGCAAGGTATTTTTACGTAGTCCTGTGAAGTTTTGTTGAAATCGGTTGAAAAATGTAGGAAATCCGATCCCATATATAAAAGAACACACACACACACACACACAAACAACCTGGGTTTTATAAGTATAACTCGATATGAGTTGTCCCCCTTTCATTCTCGCGACAGTGATGCCTCTTAATCGTGTTTTCAAATTGATTTCATGCAAAAACAATTGTGTTTTTCCAATTTTTGGTGCTGTCAGAACCACAGCAAGGTAATTTTACGTAGTCCTGTGAAGTTTTGTTGAAATCGGTTGAAAAATGTAGGAAATCCGATCGAATATATAAACGAACAGACACACACACACAACCTGGGTTTTATAATAAGTATGATTGCGACAAAGATGAGGACAATAGTCCGAATAATGTAAATAATGTGCTTTTTTTCTGTTTCGACCAAGAAGCGCGCCGAGGATCAAGCAAAATAAAATATATGTATATGTGTGAGTCTACATAGACGCAGATGTTTATACCGCTTCAAATAAGTTTGTAGAGAGAAAATTAAATTTTGAACTAACATTCAGCTGTTTCCCTCCCTTTATTTTCTCTCTCTTTTCTTTTATCGTTCCAATTACGTTCTATAACCCACCTCTCTCTCTATTTCTCATTCCTTCTATCTCTCTCACCCACTCTTTGTCTATCTATCTATCTATCTACCAATCTAACTGTTTATATCTATCAATCTCTCTTCCAATCTGGTTATCTTCCTTGGCATTATCTATCCATCTATCTATCGTGATCTATACTCATAACTTTCTATCTAGCTTATCTATCGATCTAACTTAGTCGTTCATATTTATCTATCTGTCTATCTTAGTCATTCTATTTATGTTAGTCGTTCATATCTATCTATCAGTCTTTCTCTCTTAGTCGTTATATCTATCAGTCGTTCATATCTATCTTGCTATGTATCTATTTTCTTTCAGTCAGTTCATATCTATCTATCTACGTTTATCTATCTACTTTTTTCTATCTTAGTCGGTTCATATCTATCAGTCGTTCATATCTATCTATCTATCTATCTATCTATCTAGCCATGAATCACAGGATGAATATTTTTCTCACTTCCTTTCTCTGATGCTAAATCTGTTCGCATTTCACTTTCTTTCACACTATTGTTAAAGCAACGACCATATCTATCTATCTATCCATTTATCTTTCTATCTATCTTGCTATCTATTTATCTATCTACTCATCTATTTATCTATCTTAGTCGGTCCATATCTATCATCTATCTATCATTATCTATCTATCTTGCCATATATATATATATATACTTATCTATTTATCTAAGTCGTTCATATCTATCAATCTTGCTTAGCCGTTATATTCATTAGTCGTTCATATCTATCTATCTATCTAACTTGCCAAGTAGCTATATTAGTCGTTCATATCTATCTATCAATCTATATATCTATCTATCTATCTATCTCAGCCTATTCCCATCTATCTATCTATCTATCTATTTCTAACTATCTATTTCTCTCTATCTATCTACCTATCTATCTCAGCCCTTTCATTATCTATCTATCTATTTATCTGTTTCAGTAGGTTCATATCTCTCTATCTATCTATCTCTGGACAATCGGATAAGCGAGGAGAAGTCAGGTAGAAAGGTGAGAGCTATCAAAATCTGTAATGTGCCCATGTCAAGTGTATAAGGGCCCCGGGGTCAAGTGGTTGTCATGGTAACAAAGGATATACGTATCCCGGCCTGGCTGAAAGACCTTTGCCTTCTTTGAGGAGCACCTTTGTCTAACTCTCACTGCAGGCTGACCCTAAGGGTTAGGCTGTTTTAGCAGTAACAGTACATACACACACACACAAAGAAACATACACACACACACACACACACACACACACACACACACACACACACATATATATATATATATATATATATATATATATATATATATATATATATATATTATGAAATGGCCGGTAAATGTTGTTAATACTGTTTATTATAAAAACAGAGCATTTACTTAAATATTTGTATCTATAAAAAGAACGTATAAACATAAAAAAATGTCTTAAAATATATATATATATATGTGTGTGTGTGTGAGTGTGTGTGTCTGTGTGTTGTTGTATATATATATATATAGAGAGAGAGAGACACACACACATATATATATATATTGTGTATATAACACACACACACACACATATATATATATATATATTGTGCGTGTGTGTGTTTCTTCATAGATAGAGATGAACAAACTGAAAGAGGGAAATAGAAGTGAACAGACTTAGATAGATAGATAGATAGATAGATAGATAGATAGATAGATAGATATGGTCGTTGCTTTAACAATAGTGTGAAAGAAAGTGAAATGCGAACAGATTTAGCATCAGAGAAAGGAAGTGAGAAAAATATTCAGCCTGTGATTCATGGCTAGATAGATAGATAGATAGATAGATAGATAGATAGATAGATAGAAAGAAAGAACGAAGATAAACAAAAAGATTTAGATAGGCAGAGAGATAGAGAGTGATAAGGAGAGTATGAAAGAGAGAGATGAACCGACTGAGAGAGAGAGAGAGAGAGAGAGAGAGAGAGAGAGTGATCGATTGCCGTTTTGATAGCGATGACCACAGATAAATAGATTCTAAATTCAATAAGTCCACATAAGAAAAAAATATATGTATAGATAATTATATATTTGCTCCGCTTAATACAATTATTTCAATACAGACTGTACGGGGTGGACGGGGTGGGGGATGCAGAAAAGTTACCGGCCCAGTCTACATCTCAAAATCAGACCAGATTGCCAAACATGATGTTTTTATTTTTAATATTTTCTTTTTTCGGACGAAGTACTTTCCAGTACTTACTCGTCTATTTTATTTCTGTATCGTCTCATATCATCCAGCCCCCATTGACCCTGTTAATTGCCTGAGCAATTCATAACTTGATAACAGATATTAATCAATCATTGATGTTTTTTTTTTTTTTAGCGATTCACCCCAAGCAAGGCGGGAAACCACTAGGACGCAAGGGGTTACAGAAGATTTGGAGCAAGATCAGATAGGAGTGATAGAGGAAAGGATGAGGAGAAGAATAGTGGATAGATCAAGGCAACTGGAGATGTCGATTGACATTACATTTTAATAGTTGGAGATTATAGCTCTCAGGGAAACTGGAATAGGGAAAGGTGTTCAACAGGCGAGAGGTGCGAGGTATTAAGCTATTGGAGTAGAAGAGACGGCTACATTTAAAAGTTTCTACAATGTAAGGGTGGGAGCGGGATGCCAGCCTCGTAAGGCGCTTGAATTCATGGAGTCTGGGAACCAGTGAAAGCAGCTCATCGGAGCAATTACCATGAAAGTATTTGTAAAAAAGACAGAGAGAGAGGCGACGGCGCGTCTGTGAGAGAGCGACTGTAGACGAGATGCCAGAACAGGGCCAATTATATTGCATATCCGCCTCTGGAGCTTATCAAGAGCCCGATATATATTTATGTGCCATTTATGTAATAGAAATTATATAATAAACAATAATATTATTAGGTTCTCACGCATGAAATGACGTATTTTTGATTGGTTGTTTATCCAGTCGTCTAACGAAGTCACCTCTTTAGTATATTAAAAAAAAAATGACTGAGACATCCGGAAGAGGCATGACACGTGGAACTAGAACAATCTATCCGGGTGGGCGAAATGAAAGGTTCGGTTCGAAATTCTAATCGCCTGAAGAGGACCGACGCGTAGCACGACCGAAATGTTGTGAATATGGCAAAGAAGTCAGTTAGGTATAAATATAAAAGGCATGAATCCATCTTCCTCCCTTTAGCTATGAGTTATATATAAGTGTGTGTAATACATAAAAGGTTAATGGTCAGAGTTGAATCAGACCAGGAAACAGTCGTATTAAAAGTGTTCAATTTCACTCTATTGTTGCTAATAAGCCCAATGAAAATGATTACAATAAAACAATGTCGAGTAATCTTACTATTTGAGTACAAACTGGGGAAAAAGAAGCATTTTTACATCGAATCATTACATGCGATAAGAAGTGGATACTCTTTGACAACGGTAAGAGAATGAGTCAGTGGTTAGACACAAGGGAATCATCAAAATGATGCCCTACACCTCCATTGCATCATGAAAAGTAGCAGCAACCTTGTATTGTAGAGAAATTGAGTGCATGCACGAAATATTGAAAAAGAACCATCCTAGTCTTGTTAATAGGGATGGCCGAATTTTGTTGCATGACAACGCACGGCTGGACGCTTCTCAATCAACTGTCCAAAAGCTGCATAACCTGAATTATGAAAATTTGCCTCATCCTTCATATTCACCTGATATCTATGCTACTGATGATCACTTATTTAACACTTTTGAGCTTTTCATATGTCATAAAACCTTCTCCTATAAGGAAGATGTAATCGAAACATTTGAACTGTTTATCACATCAAATGATGAGATTTTTTTTTAAGATGGGATCAAGAATTTAGAGGTACGTTGGAGAACAGTCATTCATCAATATGGTGCCTATTTCAACTGATATAAATTAATTATTTAACATTTCAGAAACGTTTTATTCATTTCCTATAAAGTGTGTTATTTCATGTGTGATAATCTAATAATTTAACTGAAGACCAATATAACCAAACAATAGAAACACTATGATTCTTTTTCTTTCTAGATAATTTTTCTTTCAATATATAAGCCCAATAAAAATGATTAAAATGAAACAATGTCGAGTAATCTTACTGTATGAGCACAAACTGGAAAAAAGCACCAATTTTGCATTGAATCATTACATGCGATGAGAAATGGATACTTTTTGACGACAGTAACAGAGTAGGCCAGTGGTTAGACGTAAGTGAATTACCAAAATAATATCCAAAACCTCCACTGCACCATAAAAAAGTTAATGGTTACAGTATGGTGGTCTTTCAAAGGGGTTATTCATTATTTATTCTTTCTCTCAAAGGAAAATTATAATAACAACCTTGTATTGTGGAGAAATTGTGTGTGTAAATTAAAAACTGAAAATGAAACACCATAAATGTTTGAATAGGGATGGCCGAATTTTGTTGCATGACAACGCATTGCTGGACGCTTCTCAATAAACTGCCCCAAAGATGTATAACTTGAATTATGAAAATTTACCTCATCCTCCATATTCACCTGATATCTATGCTACTGATGATCACTTATTTAACACTTTTGAGCTTTTCATACGTCATAAAACCTTCTCCTATAAGGAAGATGTAATCAAAACATTTGAGATGTTTATCACATCATAGGATGAGATTTTTTTTTAAAGATGGGATTAAGAATTTAGAGGTACGTTGGAGAACAGTCATTCAACAATACGCTGCCTATTTCAACTGATATAAGTTAATTATTTAACATTTCAGAATGGATTTATTCATTTCTTTTGTGATGTCAACGAACATTCGTTGCCACTTTTGTAATGCCAACGAATATTGTAGTAGAGACTTTGTAATCGCAGATACAACTATAGTAACGTCGTTGAACAATACTGGTGTCAGACGCCTAAGAATATTACTTGCTCGATAATACTCGCACGAAAGCAACCACCGTATAGTGATCTAAATAGAGAAATAGTCTAGTGAATAGAGTAGAGAATAGCGCTCCGTATAGTAATAGAGAATAGACTAGAAATGGCGATCCGTTAGTAATAGAGGATAGACTAGAAATGGCGAACGTTAAACGTCGCGATACTTCTCAACTTATGTGTTTCCTCTATGGTCACGTGATCCGCTTAAATTAATAATGAGATCGCCTGCGTTTGCTCACTGGCGATCTATGTTCAAACTCAAGTGCCGGCAGCGACACTTTATTCCTATATAACAATTTCCTATAAAGCGCGTCATTTCATGTGTGACACTCCTAATATCTATATTTGATAATTGTCATAAAATTACATATATTCTACAAAACAATTATAGTTGCTGTAAAAAGGTAAATCGAAAAACAAAAATCTCACCTGTTTTTTATTTTTCTTCTTCTCTGTTGAGGACAGAAAAAAGAACGCGAACAACGAATGACATAGAAACACCATGAGACAGTATATTAAATATAGTGAATATGCAATCATCAAAGGATGATGAATAAGAGCTAAACGTCACTCCTTCTGCTTACATAGAGAGGGCTGGAAGAACTTAATAGATATAGATTCTAAGACCTACAAATGGAAATCTGAATGAACCTTCTTCGGTACAGAAAATACGTGTTGGCTAAAAAACTGGATATACTGATAGTTATTTAACAAATGCTCAGATATCGCCAAACTAGATGTATTGACACAGCTATTTAATTTATATATACCTTACAACTTTTCTTTTTTCTTTTTCTTTCTTTCTTTCTACCTTATACTTTATTCTTTCCTTTCTTTCTCTTTCCTTCTTTCTTCTATATTTCTGTCGTCTTTGCTTGTTTTTATGTTTATTTCTGTCCTTTTCTTCTTTCTTCTTCTTCTTCTTCGTTTTCTTCTTCTTCTTCTTCTTCTTCTTATTATTATTATTATTATTATTATTATTATTATTATATTATCATCTGGTATCTGTTGATTAATTCTTAATTCTAACCTCTGTGTGGTTTTATCATTGTCGCATTGACATTTAAAGCAGTAAATTACAAAACGAAGGAGTGGCTTTCGAGTCTGAACGTTTTCAGCCATTAATCAATATGTATAGCTGGGCACTCGTATCCGATGATACCCGTCTACTAGAGCGACTATTCAATCCCTATTGCAGACGCTTGCTCAGGCATATTTTATCACCCACAGAGCCCACTACATTTATACTACAACGATGCTGAGAAGACTTTACTTCAGTTCCCAACAAGGTATTCATGAGGATGACATTGTGATTTATTCCTGTCTTTGTAGCAAATCCAACTGAACAGAAAAAAAAGGTCTTCCAATCAGTGGTTGAACTGGGGTAAGGAATGGCTTGTAAATTTTAACCCCTCCAAAAGAAAACTGATTTCATTTAATTACCACTTCTCATTATTTTACAACCCTCCCCCAGTAAACCACTTGCAACCTAGCGACGTTATCTGCATCTTTTGTCTTCCTGAAACCTGTTCTTTTATTGTCCTTTTCCTCACTTCTCATAACTAAAGCCTTCCCATTCTCTTTCACTCTCAGTAACCCCTTGAGTCTTAGTGGCATTAACGCCATCTTCTGTCTTTCTGAATACTGTTCCTTTATTGTCCTTTCTCCTCACTAAAGTCTGCTCTTTCTCTTTCACTCTCAGAAACCTCTTGCGTCTTAGTGTCATTATCACCTTCTTCCGTCTTCCTGAAACCTGTTCCTTTATTGCCATTTCTCCTCACTAAAGTCTTCTTATTCTCTTTCACTCCCAGTAACCCCTTGCATTTTAGTGGCCTTAACGCCATCTTCTGTATTCCTGAAATATGTTCCTTTATTGTCCTTTCTAAAGTCTTCTCAGTCTCTTTTACTCCCAGTAACCCCTTGCGTCTTAATGGCATTATCGCCATCTTCTGTCTTCCTGAAACCTCATCTTTCTCCTCACTAAAGTCTTCTCATTCTCTTTCACTCCCAGTAACCCCTTGCGTCTTAGTGGTATTATCGCCATCTTCTGTCTTCCTGAAACCTCTTCTTTTATTG